ATTGGGGGGGTTGGAGGAGCATCTATGGGGTGTTTGGGGGCATCTATGGAGCCCTGAAGGTGGTTGTGGGGCATCTATGGGGTGTTTGGGGGCGTCTATGGGGCGTTGAAGGTGGTTATGGGGCATCTATGGGGTCTTGAAGATCCACAGTGGGTCCATGGGGGGTTGTTGGGCATCTCAGGGGGGTTTGGTGGCCCCTTGGTGGCATCTCGAGGGGTTTGGTGGCTCCAGGTTTAGTGGCTCCATGGTGGCATCTCAGGGGGGTTTGGTGGCTCCATGCTGTCATCTTTGGGGGTTTGGTGGCTCCATGGTGGCATCTCATGGGGTTTGGTGGCTCCGTGGTGGCATCTCAGGAGGGTTCGGTGGCTCCGTGGTGGCATCTCAGGAGGGTTTGGTGGCCCCTTGGTGGCATCTCAGGGGGTTTCGTGGCCCCTTGGTGGCATCTCAGGGGGTTTGGGTGACATTGTCCTTGTTGTCCCCAGGGAAGGAGAAGAAGACCCCCCTCCTGGAGGGGACCCCGTTGCGTCTCAAGCCCCGCAGCGTCCACGAGCTCTCGGTGGAGCAGCAGCTTTACTACAAGGAGATCACCGAGGCCTGCGTGGGCTCCTGCGAGGCCAAACGCGCCGTCAGTGTCCCCAAATGTCCCCAAGTGTCCCCAGTGTCCCCAACCCCACCTTTGGGGACATCCCCGTTGTCCCCAAGGCCCTTCAGGTTGAGGTGGCCCTTGGTCTTGAGGTGGTTCCATCTCAACGTGGTTCCACCTCAACGATGTCCCCTTGTCCTATTCCCTACGTAGTTATGGGGTCTTGGTGTCCCCCCACCATGTCCCCAAATGTCCCCAATGTCCCCAACCCCCCCTTTGGAGACATTGGGGACATCCCCGGTGTCCCCAAGGCCCTTCAAGTTGAGGTGGCCCTTGGTCTTCAGATGGTTCCACCTCAAAGGTGTTCTTCTGGGTTGGTGGTTTCCCCCTCTTGTCCCATCCCCCACGTAGTTATGGGGTCCTGGTGTCCCCCCCCAGTGTCCCCAAATGTCCCCAATGTCCCAAATGTCCCCAACCCCACCTTTGGGGACATCCCCGGTGTCCCCAAGGCCTTTCAGGTTGAGGTGGCCCTTGGTCTTGAGATGGTTCCACCTCAACGACGTCTTCTTCTCTCGCTCTCCTTGTGTCTTTCACGTAGTTATGGGGTCCTGGTGTCCCCCACCATGTCCCCAAATGTCCCCAAGTGTCCCCAACCCCCCCGGGGTGTCCCCTGTCCCCCCCCTTGGTGACATCCCCGTGTCCCCACGCAGGAGGCCCTGCAGAGCATCGCCACCGACCCCGGCCTCTACCAGATGCTGCCGCGATTCAGCACCTTCATCTCCGAGGGGGTGAGTCCCCCCCACCTTGATGTCCCCTTCGATGTCCCCAAGTGTCCCCACGTGTCCCCAAGTGCCACCAAGTGTCCCCAAGTGCCACCAACTCGTCCCCATCATCACGACGTGGGATGGGAGCCACCACCTCCCCCTGCGTCCCCACCTGGGGCTGTCCCCGTGTCCCCTTGTGTGTCACCCCTTTCCATGTCCCCAAGTGTCCCTCCACGTCCCCAAGTGCCACCAGGTGTCCCCAAGTGCCACCAGGTGTCCCCAACGTCCCCGATGTCCCCTCTGTCCCCAGGTCCACGTCAACGTGGTGTAGAACGTGGCTCCTTGTGTCCCTCCATGTCCTTCACGTGTCCTCCATGTCCCTCCTGTGTCCCCCCACATGTCCCCAAGTGCCACCAGGTGTCCCCAAGTGTCCCCACGTGTCCCCAAGTGCCACCAAGTGTCCCCATGTGTCCCCAAGTGCCACCAACTCGTCCCCATCATCACGACGTGGGATGGAAACCACCACCTCCCCCTGCGTCCCCACCTGGGGCTGTCCCCGTGTCCCCTTGTGTGTCACCCCTTCCATGTCCCCAAGTGTCCCTCCACGTCCCCAAGTGCCAACAGGTGTCCCCAAGTGTTCCCAAGTGCCACCAAGTGTCCCCAATGTCCCCGATGTCCCCTCTGTCTCCAGGTCCACGTCAACGTGGTGTAGAACGTGGCTCCTTGTGTCCCTCCACATCCTTCACGTGTCCTCCATGTCCCTCCTGTGTCCCCCCACAGTGTCCCCAAGTGCCACCAGGTGTCCCCAAGTGTCCCCAAGTGCCACCAAGTGTCCCCTCTTGTCCCCAGGTCCGCGTCAACGTGGTGCAGAACAACCTGGCTCTCCTCATCTACCTGATGCGGATGGTGAAGGCGCTGATGGACAACCCCACCCTCTACCTGGAGAAATACGTGAGTGACCCCAGGGACGCTCTGGGGACACCGGTGTCACCTCCC